CCCTAAAGAGGCCCATAAGGAGTCTAAGAAAGTAATATGTGATGCAAATATTTTAGTTTTTAATGAGCCGGCTTGCCTCACTTACACCCTTAAAAAGGCCCATAAGGAGTCTAAGAAAGCAATATGCGATGCAAAAGTTTTATTTTTTGATTATTTATATAATATATTAAATACTAAGGATGGCGAAAGATTTATGTATAAGTTAAACCAAAAAAGAGATAGAATAATAAGGATTTAGTTCAAGTGAAGTGTATTAATTAACAATTAAGGATGAAGATCAAAAAGTGCTTTTATTAGAAGAATAGATTCATCAAAGGTGGACGAGATATTTTTTAAAACTTTCAAGTAATAAGAATGTGACTGACTTTAGTGACCTTAGCATCCTAAATGAAAATAAAAAATTTTGTTTTTATCGACGTATTAGTAAAATCAAAGTTAAAGAGGCTTTAAAAAAATGAAGTGTAAAGAAGTTGTTGGACTTGATGATATACCAATAGAGGTGTGAAAATATTTATGAGAGGAAGGAATTTCTTGGCTTACTAAACTTTTTAATATTATTTTGAAGACTAAAAAGATGTCAGATGAGTGTGTTGATTCATGTTTTTAAGAATAAAGGTAATGCATACGATTGTCTGAATTATAGAGGAATTAAGTTAATGTGTCATGCTTTAAACAGAGTTATGTATCATAGTTTGTGGCATGATACTAACGTTTCTCAAAATTAATTTGGACTCATGCCGAGTAGGCCTACTATGGAATCTATACATTTATTGACATGTTTGATGGAGAAATGTAGAGAAAATATGGAGGATATACATATGATATGATATTTAGTGAATTAGAGAAATCATATGATATTTGTTGATTTTGATAAAGTATATGATAAAGTTCCAAGAGAAGTGCTATGGAGAGTTCTAGAAAAGAAAGGGGTAAATAGTGCTTATATTCAAGTCATTAATGATATACATGCATGAGTTGTTACTTGTATTCAAACACAAGGTGATTTGACTAAGTATTTTGCTATCTTAGTTGGATTACATCAAGGATAAACCTTAAGCCCATATCTTTCCACTTTAGTTATGGATGTTCTCACTAAACATTTGCAGGAGATTGTACCTTGGTGTATCATTATTGATGATGATATTCTTTTTATTGATAAGACTAAAGAGGGAGTTGAAGGTAAACATGAATTATGGAGGTCAATTTTAGAGTCTAAATGCTTTCATTTGAGTAGATATAAAACTGAATATATGGAGTATAATTTTAGTAATAATAGATCTAATGGGAGGATTTTGACTTTGGGTGATAAAGTCATTAATAAGAGTATATGTTTTTTATATCTTGGGTCTATTTTCAGAGTGATGATGAAATAGATGGAGTTTGAAACTCAATAAGTAACTCATGTCTATCAAAATATAAACGACAAAGGAATGGGGCATGCAGTATGAGCAATAGAAAGAGAGTAAAAGAAATCAACCTGAAGTCACCAAAACAAGATAGTAAGGACACATGTCATGTTTCCTACAACAGACTTCTAATATGCTTATATATATGTCAAACAACTATTGATGCTAATACCTGGAAGGTAAACACCAACCTAATGGTGTCAAAACTTGACCCCGCCCAAAAAATTCTAATTTTGAGTCAACCCGTTTGTTAGATGGGTCAGATTGAGGTTGACTCAAAAACTTGAAATCAACCCGCAAATTACCCGGGTCACCTATATGCAATCCCGACTCTTACAATCTCATGGTCCATAGTGAATCCTCCCGTGTCCACCATGGACCTCGCCAGCACAACAGTATCATGCCCTTGTCGTGTTTACACCCTGCACCGAACGATCACACCCTCACCCGCACTCGCTTCCTCACCCCGCTGGCTTTAGCGCCCCCTTTATCTCCGAGTTAACAAGTTGAATCGGGTCTAGATCTGAATTTCTAACCCATCTATAAAATCGGGTTGGGTCTAGGACAGCTGAATCAAACCCAAGTCAATTTCTAGTTCGACATGAACCAGACTTGAATACCCATTTTGATACCTTACAACATCTCTAGGAAATCCAATGATTTCATGTAAAGTCACCACTCTTGCGATTCGTCGACCCCTGCTAGCAAAAAATCAATAAAGTTCTACTGACATACATACAATCATACAAAATATATACTTTTATGAATAACCAACATATATTATATAATCAACATGTTAAATTTGATGTGTATAATTGCTATGATTTGCTGGAATGAGATTAATTTAATTTAACAAAGTTAAATCGTATAAATTTAATTTTTCTGGAAAAATTAAATTAGCATGAATAAGAACTAATGAGCAATAAATCTAGGTAAAGTTATGTTTATTACATACTGATTCATTATGAACAATAATGAATGTTTATTACATGTGGGTTTAGAGTAAATAATTCAAAATACAATAGACAATTTAAATACATGAAACATAAGTCTCAAACACAAATAAAAGTATAAAACTACATAAGTAATTTTAATCAAGATCTAATGTCACTACTCCAACTAACATCCAAACAACAACAACAATAATAAAAAAAATAAAAATAATCACTTACTCGACCTTGATCAATAGGGAAGGATGGAGAAGAAAATCTCAACCTTGATTCAAGAGAAAGACGAAAATAAGAAAAGAATCATTCTCATGAGGAAGAGAGAAAAGAAGGGATAGGTAACTTTGATGGTTGTTGTGGAGAGGAAGAAATGAAGAAGGAGGCTCGGCGGTTGCTACGAGGGAGAAAAGTGGAATATTCACAAATGACATGAGAGGAATGCAATAGACAGGAGAATCCAATCAATTAGGAAAAGAATCGAGTAATCCTCACGATTGGAGGTAGAGACAGCGGGCGAGGCGTTCAGCTTGCACAAGAGTGGAAGATTGTGCTTGACTTCAGTTCATGAGGAAGAAATGAGCGGTTTGTTGCTAGCTGGTTCATCAAAGAACCATGGTCGAATGAACCAGTTCGGATTATATAAATCGAATCCATTTGAAATTATTATTATTTTAAACAAACTTCATTTCGTATAAAAATGAAAATGGAGATAATCTTGTTCAAAATGAATATTCACATATATTTTTTCAAGAATAAAATAAAATAAAATATTTTTCAAATCAAGGATAGAAGCATGTGATTTCCACCAATAATTTTTTTTTTTTGGGGGGGGGGGGGGGGTTAATTCCGATCAATATTTTTTCAATTAGAAAATTATTATCAACCATGGTCAAGTTTCACCGGTGTAAATTTCCAATTACAATGTCACACTAACACTTCTACCTTAAACGAATGGACTCAAAAGAACGAAAAAATTCCGCTGCAATGCTCGCTAAGAAATGGCAGCGAGCTTCTGCCATTCGTTACTGACCCCTGTCCTCCTCTCGTCCAAGGGGACCATTCCTCGCGTGCCTTCTCTTCCGGTGCGGGTACTCCGACGGAATTACTCTCGTACCCACCCTCTTTCCGGGCAAGACTAAGGGGGATTTTCCAACGTTGTCCTCCGCTCCGCTTGCCGGCGACATCGGAAAGCTCTCGGTGCGCTGCGCTGCTGTGAGAACAATAGTTCAGAGCGAGTTCGCTGGCCAGGTGCTGGGGTCGGAAATACCTGTGCTTGTAGACTTCGTCGCCGATTGGTGTGGGCCTTGCCGTTTAATCTCGCCTATAATCGAATGGGCTTCGCAGGTATGTATTTTATTTAGATTAGGTCATTTTAAGTGGGTTTAACACAACGGCAATTTTACGGCTGTTTGGTTTGAAGGAATTGCAAGAAATGAAATGTTAATGAAAATAATAGGAATTAAATTGAATATTGTTTTGCTCCTTTTTTTTTAAGGAGAAATTTTTACAGATAAATATATTTTTTCTTCCATACATTTTGAGGAAATTTTGAATTTTTGTTTTTCGCGGGGAGGGGAGAGTGCGGGTCTCATTTGATAAATTTTTGTTCCCATTTTTCAGTAGAATTGCGTAGAGCAAATCGTCAATGAGAAAAATCTATTTGTTTATATTTCTTAAATAAATTTACTTTTCTCTTAATTACATTGGAACAAACACCCTATATGAAATCGTGGAGTAAATTGCATTTGGATTTCCCTTTATTCCGTCAAACCAAATAGCTACTTAATCTCACAAATGTTTAGTGAAAAATACTTTTTTGATGGATTACGGGATGAATATGAGTTTACTACTACTGTTCAGAAATTTATCATTAATTTAGGGAGAGAGCTGGGATAAATTCAAACAAAATTAATGGTTTAGTCATACTAATGCGGGTTTTAGTTTACCCAGCCAACTTAAGAACAAAATTTATTTTGGGTAGTTTTTGGGGTTATGTTAACTTCAGGATAACTCCCTGATTTAATTTCTCTCGTTAGGTTAATGTGTTTTGTAGTGAAGGTGGCCCGTAAAATTCAGTAATTTTTCTGAATGGCACAATTTCTTTGGGAATGAGTATATAATTTCTCTGGGAAAGTGGCTATTCTGTAGTTTTTTTTTTTGTCCAATTGCTCTCCAACTTCTCATAGCATAGAATTGTCATTAGAGTTTCATAGATTCTTTTAAAAGAGTAGAAACATAACTCATATGTTTTATTAATTGAAATTAGGGCCCGAGACTAGTTATATATAAGTAGGCAAAGAACAATCACAGATAAGAAAACACCAAGGCCAGTTGCATATCAGTTCACATGGGAAGCTTGCATGTATTTAGTTTAAAGAATGTAACATGTTGGATTCAAACTTACATGACATCCTAGGAAATAGGAACTATGCCGCTTGAACTAGTACTCTTTGGTTGAAAACTTAAAGTTTCATAAAGTTCATGCATGTCATTGTGTGAGAGTTGGATATTTTTAATAAAACAAAATATCATTATCTTTCTTTGTGTTGGTGGTGATTTATATTGTTTACGTATTTGTATAAATTTTCAAATTATAGTTGCAGATGGGTGACAAGTACATGATCTTATACCTTTTCTGAACGCAACGAGCAAATCAAGATTTTGAATAGATAATTCAATATAAGTGGATTTTGAACTTGTGTTACCTAGTGAGTTCTTGTGAGCTTATGGATCAAATTGGATTCATGGCCTATTTTAGATGCTATCGGAAGAGCAGAGTCGAGCAGCCAAGAGGAATGTGTCGCTTTATTCCCTACCGTCTTGTTTCTTATATAATATAAATGCAACTCACTATTAATTATAGGCTGTGCGGAGATGGGATGTTGAGGAGTTGAATTGTGGGGACTTGAAGGATTGATTTGATGTTCTATTTGGTTGAAAAAAAATTAACTTGATTTGTATTTTGATTAGTGGAATGCTCATTGTGAACCATACAAATTTGATTTGTTGGGAATTTGAAAAGAGAGATGTGAGGAGAGTGAGATGAACTTGAGGCATCAATGTCCGAATGTTGGTATTCTTGTGTAAGTTCTTCCCTAAATATTATATTTTGGGTAGTAAGGATGTCGCTCGAAGAAAGTAATCGTCCATTGAGTTGTATAACTTTTTTATGGTTGCAGGATAACATTTTTTATAGCTCGAAGAGTACAATACAAGATACATTTGTGAGCTTTGGGATCTAATTTACTTTAATTTTAATATATATACACATGCAACGCACCCAAACACTTTAATTGGAATGGAGGATATGATTAAGGTGTGGGGGCATGAATGTTGGAGTAAATTTGGTTTTTGAAAGTGAAACACTTGGGAAGGCATTTTGTTTATCAAATATGCAACTGCTAGAATTGCCTCCCCCTTAAATGTTTAGGGATGTTTGTTTTTCTCTCAACAACTTTATTTTGTTAAGGCGTGTCAACACAAAAGCTTTGATGAACAATCTCCGACTTGCTAGATAATCACCATTGGTGGTTTCAAAATATTCCTTTTCATTGTCAATTTCCAACGCTTCTATTTTTGAGTTGAAGTGCCCATGGATCATATTATTGAAAATTTTGAAAATCCGACCTTTCTGTCTATTTTCTTTCCTGAGAACGACCAAGCCACTCTTTTGTTCTCATAAGTTAAAGAAAGTAACCATATAGTTCCAATTATATTCTTAGTTCTTGATGGTTCCCCTACATCACTGAATTACTGAGGCTTTGTAATTTTGAAAGTGATAAGAATTATGAATGTGCTTTTGAAAATTGATAAGATTTACATTGTATATCTTTTAGATTTTTACACTTAATAATGAGTGGAAGACATTTTGGAGATGCAAAATTTGGAAATCCCAACTAATAATGGCATAACATGATTTCACTTTCTTTATTAGAAGTGACAACTAAGATGAAACTTTTGGCTGATTGATATTGTATCCAACACAATCTGCCTTTATAGTGACTTTTCAACTTTAAGGAGATGAAGACTTGACCACACCTTAGCACCGCCATTTGTCCCCCCGAATCTAACAAGTTGAGGAAATTTTAGTTACACAATTAAGTTCATGAGTAAACTTGCTAATTGATAAGAGTTTGCAATTAAAATTTAGGATGAGAAGCATTTAATTGAGTGCAAGGTCCTTTGAAATAATTATAGAAGATATTCTAACCATCTAGATGAGAGATTTATTTTCAATTCCAATTATTTTCCTGCCATGTACTATATAATTGGAAGATGGTGACATCCCTAGTTATGTGATCAAAATTCTTCATGTCAACAATTCATGGCCTCAATTTTGTTTGTTTATAGTAAGAGCACTCAAGAAATTAACTTTATAAGCTAAGGAGCCTATTCTAATAGTGATGCATGCAAGGGTTTGAAGTGATTGGGAAGGCGTCCTCTTCCTTTCTAAACGGAGTTAGTTTGATTGTTGTGATGCTTTTCTTGATTGAGATAAGGTTTCCCGTACTTTCATTATTGATGGAGTTCTTGAAGGTTCTTATTCTATCTATTTCCCATGTATTTTTCAATATGTCTTTCAATTATGGATTGGTCGTTGACAATAGTCACACCAAGCTTGCCCCTACGTATTTTTTAATGTCTCTTGATTTGTTTGTCGTCATTGTCGTGCTTTTGAATTTTGTTTACTAGAAGTATTGAGTTTTCTATGAATGGACAATAGGAAGAGATCAAGGCATCTCCTTTTTCCTGCTATCCTCATTGTGAACATCTAAAAAACTTATCAGATATTAGGCAAGTGCTTCATCCCTAAAATTCTTCCTTGAACCTCATCAAAGTTCTTGTTGAGTCTTTTTAAGAATTTAAGAATTGTTTATTCTCTACAATTACCTCGTATTTCTTTCCATCTCTAGCTTAGTCTCAATTATCCTCTCCTAACATATCAACGCGTTGCCAACTACGAGTGAAAATGTTAAATTATCGAGGGAGTGATAGATCTCGTTGAAAGGATCATGGATCACAGTTTCAATCTCAAATAATTCTAAAGTGTTTTCATTGTTGGAGTATATTTCTTTTGTTGCATCTCATGTTTCCTTTCCAGTACCATATTTTAAGAAAGACTCCTATTTCATTGGTCGTGGAATTGATCAGCCAAAATATGACCATGTTGTTTTTTTAATTCCAAATTTTGATTTACGGGTCTTCCTTTTCAGGCGGGGCAACAACACCAGTGAATAATTATCATTCTCTTTTTTCGAATTGAACATCTTGGTGGATTGAGGCCATTGAAGGTAATTATGCCCATTCAATTTTTGTCTTATAATCGAAAAACATTGTTGTTTGTTGCACCATTATTTCCCATGATAGGAACTTTTGGGGTTGAAGGTTACATTAGAGGCAAATGATGTGTCTATTTTTTGGTGACCATGTTATACTTGGTCATCAAAATTCCTCAAGCTTTATGGCTAGATGAAGGATACAATTGGAGAAGCCTATTGAATTGGTCTTTAAATCGAGGGATGCAATCGGACTTGGTTGTAGTGAATCTAAAGACAACAACAAAGATGTGGGCGAGGCAAAGACATTTGGATTCAAAGTCGAGAGATTGATTTTGGTGGAGGATGACTTTGGAAACTTAAAAATATCCTATTGAAAGAACCGTACACATACGTAAGAGAGAGAACAATCTCATTACTTGAATGGAGCCTAATTCCTTACACAAAAATAGGAAATGAAATAACTAAGAATCGGGCAACAAAATATCAAAATATCCTATTCTTGGTAATAAAATAAACTAATTTATAGTAACCATATAGTTTTAGAATGCCATAAATATGGTTTTTGTGATACCCTTATGTGAAGCTTATATATTTCTATCAATTTTAATTTTCGTGGACCGCTTATTTTTTTTTCTCGCTCCTTTTGTTACCCTCATTGCTTATGGTATTACCCATCTCATTCATTATAATATCATTTGGTTGTTTATCCCATACCTTTCATATATGTGCATTAATCTTATCATTTATATATATTCCTAGGATACATCCAAAAGACTACAAAATGCTCTATGAAATTGGTTAATTAATGTTGTGATGAGTGCTATATTAAGTTGATGTATATCGGATTTGGTTGCTTGCCTTTTAGGATTAAACCATGGGCATTCATTGTCAATTGTTTTCCATAATGCTTGTTTGGCAGGACAAATTTTAGTTAGTTGCCAGAGAATTCGCTCAAATTTGTATGATAGTCTATTTTGACATACTCTACACAGTTGTCAGGCTTAATTCTATTTTGACACTCCTATATGTGTCCATCAATCAAGGATGATATATGTTACAAATGGATAAGAGCAATGCCTAATTTTATGGTGATTTTATGAAGAACTGTATATGGAGCAACCACCTGAATATGCTGCTTAGGTGAAGAACTACATATATTTGCTTAATAAGGTCATACTTGGGCTTATATATATCCCTCTAACTTGGTTTGCAGACTTCTACAAAGTTATTATCAAGATTGATCATTGTAGTGGCACTACAGATCCTTTTATTTTCGTTAGTCATACGCTAGTAGGCTCGATCTTATATTTGTTTATGATGATATCTTAATCGCTAGGCGCGACCATTAAAGCACTCACAATAATGAGGATTCAATGATGCAACTCGGTAGTGAAGGCTAGCAGAAAATTTGATTTATGTGATTGTCAACAGATCAGATGTTTCGTTTGCTATAAGATTTTTGAGCTAGCACATGCAAACACCAAAACAAAAGCACTTGGAGTCTGTTTTCCGCATTACTAGATATATCAAGAAGATTCTTGAAAATGGTTACTATATGCTAAGACTAAGCAGTTGTAAATATCGATTCTGCAAGGCATAGGACGTCAACATTTGAATTTTATATTTTGTTGGAGTTAATTGGGGGCTTTAGAAGATGCCTATGATGTTGGAATAGAGGACAAAGTGTTGTTGACCAATAAAGTTTAATAGATGCCTAGGATTAATGGAATGCATTTTGAAAATATATGTTATTGAGGTTCCATGAATGAAATGTGGATTCAAATAAGATTTGTTTTAACTATGAAGGTTGAGGTTTCCCAAAGAAATAAGCTTCTAATGTTAATTATGATTTGAGCATATTCGGGAGAACTCTCAATTTAGGAATCACACTTGTTTTTAGGTTAGATATGAGCATATATTATTGAGATTGTTATAGTTTGCTAATCAAGGGTTAGGCTTAAGCAAAGGTCAAAAGAAAACCATTTGTGGTCAAAATCTATGGAAAATAATAGGTTTTTAGGGAAGAAAATGGAATTTACATTCTAATACATTAGATAAAATCTAGATCATCATAAACAGCCTAGAACTGCAACTCATTAAGATTTAGAGAACAATTTATAAATTTAAAGTGTTTTAGAAAGACAAGATAAACATGTTAAAATGGTGTATAAACTCAATTAAGATCACATAATTTTGTCATCCAGGATAATCAATTTTCTAATCTACCTAGTTAAAGAAAGTAACCAATTTAGCCTGACCTGAAGAGTTTTGTCAGTAACCACGAGTTAATATCGTCGAAGGGCATTACGTAAATTTAGGAAGTCCAAGAAAATAAGATAAATAACTTAAAGTGATAGGAGGACAATCGTGATTGAAATCTTATTATTCTATTATTTTAAGTTATGATAACATTAGTCCTCTTGGCCAACTTGTAACTTGAGAATTTTTGTCAGCAACTATGAGTTGCATCATATAAGAGAACCTTGTATACTGGTGGGTAGGAATACACATGCATAATCCTTGGATGACAAATAAGACTTCTACTCTACAACCATAATAGGAAGAAGCCTAAATTGAACACATAGTAACACCCTAATAATACTTGCTTTGATTGAAATAGGAGCCTAAGCTCTAATGTTAAGAGGAACTTAAAAAAATAATATTGTATGCATGTATAAAACTTACAATTTGACCATATGGGGTTAAGAGCTTGATTATTAGACTTACGTTCCATCTGGGTCAAGAATATCACTAACTCACCTAAATCCATTTGCAAAAGTGATGTTATCAGATCTTAATGAATACAAAAGCGCCGAACACATCTTAGAATTGGGAAGGACATGAGTAAATGCTTTTGCTATCGTTATGTGCTTAAATGTCCTAATATAAATCTTATCTTGTATATTGACTCATAAGATCATTTCATGATGTAAATTGACGAAGCATTTGTTGATGAGTCATAAATTTACTGCTAGATGATAAGGCAAATGCTCAATTATTATACATATTGAGGCATAAATGAGCTGTGTTATTTATTTTAAAAAATCCGACTAAGAGAGTGGTCAAGCACATTTTTCTTGATTTGAAAAGATTAATTTAATTGCATGTTTTACTAGGTGAAAAATATAGTCATAGGATATATTCATCATCACATATGCAGTAAAACATGGACATGGCAGTTAAATAGGTAGTAAAAGAGAACACAATTTCTATAATTACTCATTCCCTGACCTGCCATCCTAGGTCTCCTGCAAAATAAATGTCATTAGCACGTATATATCACAACTCAACATCACATCTTGTCATATTACAACGCATCACATATATGCATAATTATATCACTAACATCATAGTAGATGCATCATTGATCTGAAGCTAATGAATGCAATTGGGCCTAAGCATTTATACATCATCAATGTGCAAATAAAGGTGCTCATCTCATAAGTGCAACATCGAAGTGTGAGAAATTAATTACCATCATAACCATCTGACTATATATTTCAATTTTGAGACCTTTTAACTAATGATTTGTTATATGAGTAAATGAACATCTTAAGCAAGTCAGTAGGATCATTTATAGGTTTTAAGGCTTTAGGAAAGGATGCATGTGTGCATGTATACATTTATGCATGCATACAAAACAACTTATAATTATTTAATTTCTTGGATATCAATTTTTGCCTCAAAACAACTTATATCATCAAAACAACTCCTTAAGCAAGTCAGATGTATACATTTTTGCCTCAATTTTGAGTTCATAGGTGCATTCCAAATCTCCTTCTATGCATATATTTTGTAGTTGATGATATACAAAATTATGTTTAATATGACTCCCACCAGATTTCTGGATATTCACCACAAATTAAACATTCATCCGAAGATAAGTACTAAAGGTAGATAATAAGCAGATAGTAAGATTTCAGTTCATTTCCAGATGGTCGGGAGCACAGCCACATTAGTGGTTTTATACATGTGGGTAAGGTAGGTTCTAGAGAGTGCTGGATGGTGAGGTTGTTATTGCCAGTCAGGTGTCAGGAGTAGTGGAGACTGACTGATGTAGAGGTCACCACTTTAGGTGTAGTGTACATGAGGTACACCTTGAGTGGTCTAACAACTTTAGCTTGTGCTTAAGTTCAGTTGATTAATTAAGTTTGAGCTAAAACATAAAAAAAATGAGCTCGAGTCAGTCTTTGCTGCAACTTTTTTTTTGGGGGGGGGGGGGGGGGCATTTATTATAAATGAGAGAAGATAATTTCAATTCAAACAAATGTTGTAATAAAATGATAAAAAGAATCACAAGTTAGAGGAGAAATAATAATAAATTAGCTGAGTTGAATTAGACTTCTTAATTGTTTTTTACTTTAACTCTTGAATTCTAATATGTTTTCATATATTTATATTAATATTTTTTAAACCGGCTGCTCACGAGCTAAATAGTAAGTTTAGGGCTTACAAGCCATTATCAAGTCGAGTGACTAAGTCAAAACCAGCTCGAGAATCAACTTTACTCATTTACACTCTTAGTTAAACCACAATGCATTCTAGTAGTTTTAGGCTTCGTTTGGGACGGCTTTCTTCCTGCTTCTTAAAGCAGCTTTTTAATACAAAAATTAAATTTTTTGTATTAAAAAATGTTTTAAAAAGCAGCAAAAAAGCCATCCCAAACGATGTCTGATTTCATAACACTGTTCTTATCGATTACTTCACACACAAAAGAAAAAAAAGAGTTATTGAACAGCACCATTCTGCTAACAGTATGCATACTGAATATTTTTGTTTTATAGGAATACAATGGCAGATTAAAGGTTGTGAAGATTGATCACGATGCAAATCCCAAATTGATCGAAGAGTACAAAGTCTATGGCCTTCCAACCTTGATTCTCTTCAAGAATGGCCAAGAGGTTCCAGAAAGCCGTAGAGAGGGCGTTATAACAAAGATTAAGCTCAAAGAGTATCTGGATTCTTTGTTGAGCTCAACAAACGTTGTTTAAACTTTACTTCTTTTTGTATTAATTAATTCTTTCAAGTAACCTGGATTCAATATACTCTACGTTTTTAGAACTTGTCTTTGCCTGAAGCCTTTTCAGCGTAATATTTATTTATAGCATATTGTGAAAATTTTATTCTTGGCAATATTGGCAATGAATCGAGTGCAATAAATTTGACTTTCAGCTTATTTTGATCGATTCTTTGATGTGTATTTATGAAGCCTATTTGTGCATAATATAGTGATTATAATGTTAGTTATTTGTTGATCAATTGTGTTGTATTATTGCTAGGATTTCAATTTAATATGTTGAGCTTGTTGGGGGTTGCAGGGGTCCTCTCCCTACTTAGGTTTTGATGCTTTGCACTTAAAAAAAAAAAGTTCTCGTACAAACGCACGGCGTTGCAGTGTGGTGTACCTGAGCGTTCGACGCTGCATAGTTTGCTTGTAGAAAAACAGAGAACGGAGCGTTGCGATGCTCCAGACCTTTGCGCTATTAGGGGGACTCCGACGCTGCGACACTGTTAGGTAGATTGAAGATAGAGAGTTGAGCCCCTGGCATTGCGAGATGGTCTGATAATTTTCTTTCTCATTTTTCATTAAGTGTTCTATCGCTTGGCGGTTTTGTAAATTTCTCTTTGTATGTTATAGTGTGAGAATGGCATAAGGATAAACATAAGCAATTATAGTGAGAAAGAAGAGAGATTTGCACTGTTTCTACCAAATTTTCTTATTGTGGTGTGATTTCGTAATTTTTTTCCGGTTTCAAATTTTTCATGTTAAATTATGATGTTCTTTATTTTCACTGCATTTTATCTCTTTATTGTTTATGTTCGTTGCATGTTTTAATCCCCCAACATATAATTATCATTGGACTTAACAACAATTATGTGAGATTAGTTTTATGAATTATTTGTTTTTTAATGACTTTAATAATATTATTTTTGGTTTATTATTATTTTGAATTATTTTATATTAGTTCAATATATCTTTTTTATAAAATTTTCAAGTTTTAATTTTTACTTGGTTGAAGGATAATTTAACTAGCAGAGTTAATTTCTTATGAATTCCAAACTTACATTACTGTCAAGATGTAATTATGAGGCAATAATATTTTTGTTCTTAATTCTTAGACAAAAAACAAAGCATTATTGATGTTGAATACTTACTAGTTACTATTAAAACATCAATTAAATTATTTTTTTTATTAGCAATTTAAAAAAATAAATAAAAATTTGATATTTAAATAATTTAAATAATTTGTTATATGCACACATTTTAATAATGAAATTATCTTGAATGGCCAATAATTTTTATAAGAAATATTAATTACTTATTGAAAATTATATAAAGGGTCGATGAACTCTATTTTCTATGTTCCTCTAGTTGAAATAAGTATTTCACCTACACTAATATTTATGATCGATCAACTCAATTGAATTTCCTGCATCGAAATTCTTAAAATATTATTCTTCACTCATCATCAAGACAACATCATAATTTATCCTACTCTCAATCTAAAACTTAGATTAGATCATTTTTTAAATTAAAAATCTATATCATGATTCATAAACTTTCTAATAAAAATTTGAAAATCATACCAATGCTCATTCATTTCATGATCAAGATGAATTTATAAAGATTTTTATTTTTTTTTGACATTTTATTGCACTGGCAAAAATTCATCTATATGTGATATGTTACAAAAATTGTCTTGATCGGATACGAATATTTGATGCAAATATGAATAAGAAACTCCTCTGATACGAGGCTCATGACAGCATGCATAATTCTTTCCATTGTTCATAAGCTCTATTTAAATGGCCAAAATAAAAGATAGATGCAATTCTTCAAATATAGATGTTGGGGCGTGACAATTTTGACCACCGTCAACCGACTATGGTACTTTAGTCCTCCATCGTTTGCCAATTATGGTCTCTTCGACCATCGTCGCCCGATTATGGTCCTTTCGACGATCGTAACTCATCGACTATGATCCTTCCGACCACCAACGCCCGACTGTGGTCCTTCCAACCTCTATTGCCTTCTAACAATGATCCTTCTGGCCATCATTATTCAATTACGGCATTCCCAATCAAACAAAATAGACGATACTCTATTTAGAACAATTATCATGTCATTCTCCAACTATGGAATATGCTTTTTATACAATGTGTGTTTATTTTATTGAGCCAACGCTCTCCTCCAATGAAGGGCATTATTTGCAATCAACCAGAAACACTAGTAAATTCATCTAAATTGGGCAAGACCTTGTAGTTTTTTCCCTTTTTTTAGAAGTTTTCACGTAAAAATTATGATCACTCCTGAACAATACACCTCTCTCTCTAATCTCTATGTGTGTTGAATATTCGTACAAGACTAAGATGCTAAATTCTCTATTTCTCTACTGATGCAAAATTTTCAAGACGCAATAATATAGTACCATCTTGTTAGCATAAAATACCAATTGATTTTTCTTAGGTCTTTGTACAAATTGATTCATCATAATAAAAACATAATTATTGCTTAATTATAAAATACAGAGACAATTTTCAGATCCTTCAAACTTGAAATATTACATATTTTCTTACTGAACTCTGACAGATTACTTATATGATGCGAAAATGGAAGTTATTTACATGCTTATGTCGCTTAGGTCCTCCTTCCTCCGGCAGCTATAATAATACACAAAGTATTTTAATTTTATAAAAAAATTGTTAATTTTTAGATGATGTTAAATGAAACAACTTAGAAATAATCCAATTTGATTCAAATTAATTCAAAATTGAAACGAATAGAACTATGATCGTATTTCGATTCACTAATAGTATCATTCATTCTAATTTTGAGACACCTCTTAGTCCTAACTATTATATTCATAGGGGAGTCAAAATGGATTGATGGGTTCGATTCAAGTCAGGCCTGAAATTGACCTGATTTGTTATGTATTGTTCCTAGATTTAGGATTATTTTTTGTATGACATGTATGATCATTTGTGTAGCTATTTGTATAGCTTTAGGAGTCTTTTAATAGGGGTTTTTAGGCTGTAATATGAGGCCAAGAAAGAAATAAAGTTTATAGAATTTTTGGCTCTCCTCCCCTCTCCTCTCTCCCTCCTCATTCTCTCTCAAGATCCGGTGGAAGTTCTTCTTCCACAAGGAAGGGATCTGACATGATTGGAATCCAACCAATATGAACTTGACCCGTTTAAAATACTGGTCAAAAGACCAACCAGAAACCAACCAGCTAAAAAATCAAACACTACACATTAACCTATTTTGAATTATCATACACTTCTAATACCGAAAACATTTATTAAACATATCAATCTCAACTCAAATTTTTAGAATCAAATCATTTATTTCGCTTCTAAACTATCATACACTTCTAAAAAAAATGTATATTTAACTCAAACAATCTAATAAAAATGTAATATATTTTAATTTGAGAAATATGTAATGAAGGGCCTAAATACATGATTTAGATACATACAATTTTATTACAAATTATTTATATATCTAATACCCAAAATTTTAATATTACATTCTTATCACTCATATAAAATTTTAATATCGAATATATCACTATTATATTTCATGATTATCACCCATACTATCTTAAAAATTTTAATATTTTATTTTATACATTCATATTTATTTTATAAGAGATAAATACATAATATTATAATTTTAAATATTGAATATTTAAATAGCATGAAATAAAGTGCATGTATATCCACAATGAATTTTTTTGTGTGATTTTTCTTATGGGAATCGAGCTTTTATGTTACAGCGACGCTCTTTTTAGCATCAGTCATGTGGCGGAATCGATTCCTCAGCATTCGGTTTCCAATTTCTCCGTGCGCTTGAGATATCCTATGACTCCGGCAGTGGAGTGAAGCACAGAAGCCCTAACCCTAGCGCCGTCTCCATTCGGATTCTTTTCCACCAGGTGCACATATCACATGTAGTTCGGTCGTTGTTCTCCATCGAGATGAAGAAGCTCTGGTTGACTCGGTGTTTAGCTGCTGATTAATTTGTGCTTCTGGTCATGGCATTGGTTCACTTGGTGCTAAGTTTAGCTCCTTACTCTCGTTTCTTTGGGTATGGAGTTTTTGATGAGAGACGGCGGGTTATTCCCCCGTCTGAGTCTCGAGGCGGCGGAACTTTCTTAGGACGGATAGGTACAACTGGGCTAACGAAGAGGTTGTCGCCGGAGGCAAGAGCTAGATTGAGTCGGAGGTGCGTCGCAAGACGGTCTGCATTGAAGGCGACGGAGGTGGAGAGTGGGCAGATCGTAGGGCTGGTGGAGATTCCTGTCACATGTTATCAGGTTGTGGATTTTCTTATTTTTGTAATTTATATCGTTTCTTTGATTAGCGAACTCATACCATTTGCTGGAATAATGAATTCAAATGAGTTGTAGCTTTCAATTAAAATTCTAGTACTGTGGGTTGGAAGTTCGAATGAATGTTATAGGCATATGCGTGTGTTACTTTTGCAGTGTGACTAAACACCTTCATGTGGGTTTCTTCTTAGTTTCAGTGATATCTTTGCAGTTCTTAGGTCTTTCTCTGAAAGCTGAAAAGGATGAGGTTGTAAAAGCTGTGATGGATTTAAAAGATTCAGAGATCGAGGCTGGTTACACTGGAGATGCCATTTTCTCACGGCAGGTATCACAGGCAGAATACATTTTCATGTTGATGAGATAGATGTGAACAATTTCAAAAAAATATTATGTTGACATTCTTTCTACTTGTGTTTCCAGCATCTTCTAATGGATATCAGAGATAAGCTTCTATTTGAACCAGAATACGCTGGCAATTTAAAAGAAAACATTTCGCCAAAATCTTCTTTACGCATTCCTTGGGCTTGGTTGCCTGGTGCTTTGTGCCTTCTACAAGAGGTAAGTATGTCCTTTTCATCTGTTTGAAATTTTGACCCTGAAGAACTTTCATGATTGATCATGGATTGCTTAGGAAATACAAAAATGGGAATTCAATCATATCAGATCTTATAAACCTTGTTGGATGGTTATGGGTTAAAATATTAAGATTTCATATGATAAAGGAATATTGGTTATTTAGCGAATTTCACAATGTTTGATTTGATCACCATAAGGATTTGAAGCATACTTAGGATTATAAACATATGGCCATATGAAGCAATTATGCTATGAAACAACAAGTATCTTCTAAATTCTTCTTTCAAGAATTTGCAATATTTGTTTTTAATTTGAGATGTTTTTTAGGCAGGCCAGTGTAGTGTAGTTGCTAGATATTTCCTCTTTTTTTCTTTTTTCTTTTTTTTTTTTTAAGGGGGAGGGAGGATTTTGATTGCTATTTTTTTCTCCTTAGACTTTCGTGTTTGGCTTTATCCATTATTTGGGGTGGTGGCTTACAGGGCTTTGGAACGATGGCATTTGAATTGTTTACTTTGGACGTATCATGTACATATCTTTTTTGTGTTCTCTCTTGCTCCAAGCGATTCATGTTTTGTGGGATGTGGCTTTCTTTTATTGTTGTGATTTTGCAGTTTTTATTGGCAGAGCATGTATGCATATATACATATTGTGGATTTTAAAATTTTGGAATTTGGTTTACAATGCTAAGGTTTACATGTTGGAATTTGGCTTTCCTTTATTTTTGTCTCCTTTGGCTTTGGCTTTATCCATTATTTGGGGTGGTGGCTTATAGGGTTTTGGACGGTGGCATCTGGATTGTTTACTTTGGACGTATTACGTACACATCTTTTTGGTTTCTATTCTTTCTTGCTCTAAGCGATTCATGTTTTTGTGGCATGTGGCTAGGCGTGTAAACGAGTCGAGTTGAGCTCGAGCCAGGCCCAATTCGAGCTCGAACTCGATTCACCCCACAGTAAACGAGCTTGAGTCGTTCGCAATCCTTTCGCGTCTAGTCCGCCTTCCGCAGTGGTCTTCCGAGGTCCATGTATTTCTTTTTCCGCGTCATCTTCCGAGGTCCGCGTCGTCTTTCGCGTCGAATCCCAATTTAGTTTGCGCTCATGGTTCGCTTTCGAATCACAAATTCCGTTCTTCTGCGGGATTTTCAAAACTTCAGCAGGCCACCCATATTTATTATTATTATTTTTTAATTTGATTTGAAAAAAAAATGCAGATGCAACACTTCAACAACTTTTTAATAAAAGCTATCAATTCTTTACATGCCATCCGTATTTACTATTAATTTTTTTAATATTCTAATTTAATAAACAAAATAAAAATTATTTAATTATAAATTAGTGATTCGAGCTGGCTCGCGAGCTCACGAGTCGAGCCTCATACAAGATCAAACTTGTGGCTCCCTAAGCTCTGCTAGCAAGTTTGATAACGAGTCGAGCTCGAGCCGGCTCGGCTCACTTACACCCGTAGCTGTGGCTTTCCTTTGTTGTTCTGATTTTGTAGTTTCTATTGGCAGAGCATGTATGTATATATACATATTTGGGATTTTTAAAATGTGGAATTTGTTTGACAATGTTAAGTTTTCCGGATTGTGTATTTGGTTGTGGATATATATTTGGATTGTTCCAATTTATTGTTTTAATTAACATTGGGATTAGTCTAATTTTGAATTGAGTTAATCCTATGCCAGCCATTTCTATTAGCCTAGGGGATAGAGTCTATAAGTAGGGGTGTGTATTTGGTCTATTTAGTCGATTTGGTTTACAGATTGGATGGACTAATTAATTTTGATTCAAAAATTTATAAATTTGAACAAATTAAACTATTTTTCAAATCAAACTGATTCAAATTGAACTTTAGTTCTGTTTATTCAATTCTATTCTAAAATAACTGAAAGGTAATTAACTTTAATAATGAATCTAATTATATTTAGCTTAAATATTATATATTAAGAAAAATACCAATTAGTAATTCCTAAATTTATATTTTTTGCATTTGAAATAAAGAATATCCATATTATTTATATTTCATGGGATTTGTTGATTAATTGTTTGAAGATATTATTATAATTTAATTTTTTGGTTTGATTAGCTTTAAGAAACAAAAATCAAAGAAGGTTAAAATTACAACAAAAAATTGAATTGATACTTTAATAATCGAACCTAAGCAATAAAATAAGATTCATTTGGCTCAATTTTATGGTTTTATTCAAATTTCAAACAATACACATTGTATTTATAAGAGCCATGTAATTTAAACTTTAAGCTTAAATAAAATTTCTCTTTCCAATTTTAATCTTGTGTGTGAAAGTTGGATATGTGATTCCTTTGGGTGCAGTACAAGTGCAATTTCCTGATTTTGGGGGAAGTCTTCTTTTTACACCTACATTAGGCTTTTTTTTTCTCATTTTGATATTTTCATTCATTAGTTCATTTCATCTACATAATTTAATATTGGTTTGTTTAATGCTATTAATTTTGATGGAGAATTGACTCATTTTAAATTCAATTATGAAAATTTAATTTAATTGTTTTCTAATTTTTTGTATTTTTAATTCCTTGCATAATTTCTTGAAGTATTTCATCACTTCATTATCCATTGTATTGTAATTATACTATTGCATGTTCATATTTAATGAAAGTAAGTTGTTAAATGAATTGGTGACATGTGATATGTGAATCATCAAATTTCTATGCATGAAATAATGTTGCACATCATATTAGTACATCAATTTGTGAGAAATCTATTATGCTGTATTCTTATTGATTCTTATAAAGATTCTCTTTGAATTTGTCTCTCCAATTTGCAATCCTGAAAGGGTATCTATGTGACGTATTGGGATTTACTTTAGTCTAATAATTCACCATATAGGAGTGGCGATAGTCTAGTATTTGTGTGACTAAAACACCAGCAGTGATGATCCCATACTAAAAACATGACGCAGTTTACATATAGACAATCTTAACATGCACTTACATACCCCCATAAATAAACAATGAGATTCTAATTACGCTGAATTACACAAATTATACTTAATTAATCGTTGCATATGGTTCTTTCTAAGTTAGCTCCCAAGCTAGAGCCTCATCTTTCCTAAATGCAAAGTTGGGGTCCTTTTCCCCTATAAATAACTTCAATGAAAAGCTTTTGGAGCTTGTAGGAAGAAGCATTGAAGCACTATCAGAGGAACATCATGATGACATTATGGTATAAGTGCATGTTCATTACAAAATGGTCTTTGCTTATAGTTTTCTTCATCATCAACTTGATGTCATCAACTGTTGGTTTAATGTGATCCTTTTGTTCGTTGTTTCATAAGGACTCCTTAGTCCCCATAAAGCTTAGCTTATCTATGTCACCTATACATACCTTTCTTGGCTTGTGTTTAAATGATACTCTTACTAGTAATTTTTGTACCTTCATTTCTTGGTGTGGGTGGGATGCTCTTCGCGTGGAATTGTTACCCAAATTCCTCGAAATCTTGAGGCTTTTAGCTAAACTTCGCTCCTCATTATGGGAAAAAAATATACCATGCAAAATTGTGGCCATGATCACTGTGTCATCAACTAGGAGTTGGGCTCATGTGCACTAAGAATAAGATCCAACCCTAAAAGATGCCACTCGTAAACTTTGACACAGATTTTCTGCAATCAAAATGCAGTTGGAGAATGAAGCAAGCATGATTGAATTGAGTTGGAGATTGAACAAGGATTGTTAGCTCCTCTTGGTTTAAAAGCGATGAAAAAGCACAAAAATGCCATATGGACAAATAATGGAATGCCCGTAAAACATGTTGCATGTAATTGTGTTTGACATATATGTCCCTAAAATATACAACAATGTGTAATTACATGAACTACATTCATAATTATGCATGGCCTCACATTTTACCATGGTTTTGAAAATTGGACTGGATCGTATGGTTCGACTGGTTCAACCGTGAACTAGTCATGTGGCCTGTTCGATCCTCATGAAAAATCGGTCCACTATCAAATCGGTAAAATTGGTTCCGATCTTTAAAGACCATCCAATTTTATTCATAATATATTAAAATAATTTAATTTAATATATAATATTTAATTAAATATGATATTAATTTAAATATAACATATTTTATTTGTTTAATTATATCCGTCAATTTTAAATTATTATGTATTAACACTGCCATTGCCAGGTCCCAAGTCCTGGATGAGAAAAGTGGTGGGTTGCGTTAGGTATTTGACAGCCAGCGTAAAACTTGTCGAACAATAATAATAATAATAATGTATTAAGCACTAACAAATAATACCCACATGGTTCCACCACCCTATGTGGGTTCTTAATTCATGAATACATGAAAAGCCATATGAACAATACAATGCAAACCTCCTAAGTGATGTGGGACTAAACAATTAGTAGAAATTTCTACAATGTGTGCATGGTGGATTGCTTCCATGAGGATTCTTTGAAAAAAAAAATATATAGAATATTCAAATAAAAAATGGTTATAATAATTTTTAATGTTCTTAAATTTATAATTATTTGTGTATTATAATTATCTTAAAATATATTAAAAATTTTTTAAGATATATTTTCGGTATAATTTTGATTATAATATACTAATAAACTTTTTTTTACCTAATTTCTCTCTAAATATGAAATTAAATAATATTAAGAAAATAATAATCTAAAATAAATAATGTAGTATGACTTTATAAATTTGATTTTATAATGTGAATTATATATATAATTTATAGGTGTAAATTTTACCTAAATATATAACATAAATTAAAAATTATTTATATTAAATTTATATATTTATATATAAAACTAAATTTCTATTAAATAAAAATTAAAAATCAATGATTTGAGATATTTAAATTTAAATTAAATTTATTAATTATGTGATTTAAATATATAATAAAAATTAATAATTATTTATATTTAATTTTAAATTTATGAAATATATTATTTATGTATGAATTTATTTATTTTTTAGTCCCAAAATTATTTTATTTCATAATTATTACAAAGTTATTTATTATTTAAATATATTTTTTTTCATTTGGGGTAAGGACCATTAACTGCAATAATTAAAATATAAAATGCCACAATAATAATAAAAATTATTATTATAATAATAATAATTTTTTCAAAATAAATTTTTATGTTGATCACAACAAGTATTGCCTAATGAATGAATGAATTGCAATAGAGATGGATAGTCCCACAGATGGACCCACCATTTCTTTGAAAAAAATTCAAGGAAACTCAAGTGTCACAAATGGTTTCTAGCCAATCCAAATCAGGAAGCTTGCAGGCATCTTTAGCTTGAACCAATGGGTCTAGCCAAAGAAGAGGGTGAAGAGCATTGGTGTTCTCTCTTGCAAAACAAAATTGTTCATAGACTATAGAGGACAACTTAAAAAGAGGAAAGCATGTCTTAAACTTTAACCACATGTGGAATTGTTTCAGTTAAATTCTATAACAATCTGTATCCGTTCCACGTTTGTTAAGCGTGTTTGCACTGACAAGGCTTTATTGGGTTACTTTTGGCCTTTGATTAGAGATGTTAGCTTACTATGTCAATAGCAGGCTCCATGCCCATGTTGGTATATATACACAAATACTATTGGAGTCAATACTGTGCATCGTTCGAAGTTCTGCCAAATGACAATAACTATTGTTTGGCACCAGCATAGGTGGTCTCACTAATACTTTGATGCTTGTTCTCTACTATCCATTAATCTACCCCATCTTTACCAAATTGCAATTTTTTCTAAAATTTTATTCCTTTAGGTTTATTGAGGATGTTAGTAGCGTATTATGTAGATGAAATTCTATTTACTTGATGATAGTGGAAATTTGTACTTTCTACTGTGCGATAGTTGTTGGATACTAGATAGTTATTTAAGGAGTTCATTCAAATGACATAATTTTATTAGGTGATTTCTTTTTAAATAGATGAAATATTAAAACAATGGATACAACAATAACAAGTCTTTATTCCACTATGCGGGGTCGATAGTAGAATAATGGATGAAATATTTAGTCAAGATCAAGTATGTGATATTCAAGTCTATCATGTGTGAGATAACAAAAATTATCAATCTATATTGTTAAAAGATTAAGTGATATTTATGCGTGAATGTGTTTAACTATCAATGATTTATTATAAAGAAGATTGGGGATTTAGATGAGATACAGTGTAGCTGAGCTAGGGGTGTAAACGAGTCGAGTCGAGTCGAGTTTTGGCCCTTATCGAGCTCGGCTCGTTAGATAGATAGCGAGCTCGAACTCGAGCTCGAGCTCGAGTCGAGCTCGACAGTCGAGCTCGAACTCGAGCTCGTGTCACTGTTAACGAGCTCTTAGAAGTGGGCTATTTTTTAAAATCATATTGAAATTATTTATAAATATTATAATCTAAGCAATCAAATAAAAAGTATGTAAAACCCAAAAAAATCCAGCTTCCTTTTCCCCCAATTTCCCATTCTTTATGTGTTTATGCTTTCAATGCTTCTCTCATTTGCCTTCAGCTTCTCTTTTTTTCTAAAAGACAGAAGTTGACTCATAAATTGACTCAAACTCATCTGCGTAGGCTCAAGTTCTAGCTCGATTAATTAAGTCAAGTCAAGTTCAAATTTTTGTTGACCAAGCTCAACTCAAATTGTTTCACCCAAAATCAGTTAACTTCTAGATTTAAGGTTGGTAGTTAAAATGGAGAACTGTCTTGATGTAATATGCCATAAGAGAAATTGATAGACTTGAAGGTTAAATTTTTGAAATTATAATCAAATTGGTTATACTTGATGGATATGACAAAAATAAGTTTGTTAAGATGTATCAACTAGAATTGATTGATTGGGAATTGTTTATGTTTATAGAGATGATAGGTGTAACACACTAACACTTATTGAAATGAGATAATATAAAATAGTTTTAAGGTTGTATGGACATGTAAAATAGAGGGTGAGGGACACACCCATAAGATTGGTGTATAAAAATTATTGTGAAAAAGATGACGGGAAAAGGTATAAACATAAGGTAACTTGGTTAGAAATTATGTTAAAACGATTGTGCATATAGCGTGAACACCTCATGCTAAACTCAACAAGAATTAATGGAGTGTAAGGATATATAATTCCGATCCAAACCATTAGGATAATACATGATGATGATGTTGACACATGACCTTGCATGATAGAGTTGGCCTAGAATAATGCTTAGGTAACTTTGATTGTAACATGGAGTTCAAGAGTTTGAATACAAAAAAGCATATTGATGTAGTCATGAATTATTATTTTATGTTTGTTTTTTTCTTGTGTTTTTGGATGCTATGTAATTTTATTTTGTATTGCCCTATGATGAAAACAACCCATCATCATGCTGGGTTAGGTGCTTTCAGGTCAATTCACTCCATTGCCTTCCTATTGTGTTGATCTTACTTCCTTGCTCCTGTTGTCTGCTATTTTTTCCCTGTTGTCTTCTATTTTTTCTCTGTTGTTTGTTGGTTTTCCCTGATTTCTTGTCATTTTTCCTGCTATTTGCTCTGTTTCTCTGTTGGTTGTTCAATTTTCTTGCTGGCTGCTCAGTTTTCCTGTTTTCTACTTAGTTTCCCTGCTGGTTGGCTCGGTTTTCTTATTGTTGGATGCTCGATTTTCTCTTTGTTGTTTCCTATGCAGGATGCTTTGTGTTTCTCTTTTGAGGGCTATGTTGGATGGTTCTTATTGGCTGTTTTGGAGGCTCATTTATGAGAGTTAATGCATGCCCTTTCCCCTCATTTCTCCTATAAATACTAGATGAATTTCATTGTGCAGAAGTTGTTGATTATGTAAATAAATTTAAAACTGAGGGTTTCTACTTAGCTTGCGAGCTAGTCTTACCCCTATCCCCTATTACTTCCTCTCGGTCTTCTTTCTACTTCTTCTCTCCACAGTTTTTCTTCCACCAGTATCTTTCTTCCATAAACATTGAGAGTTATAAGGTGTTGTTGTGCCCTGTTGTGTTGGTATTTGCCAGAGGGGCGCCGACTTGAACGGGATCATAATTTTTTGTGGTGAACTACTTGTTTGAGTTTTCCTTTGAGCATCATTCCATATTTTTGTGATTTGCATGTGAGGTGATCGATTGCGGTTGTTCTGAGGGTATAAAATTTCATGTTTTAGTTTGTTTCTTTTTTTTGCTCGATTTCCTAATCATTTTCTCATATTTGTTTCCTATTAAGTCTCTTTCAGTTGGTGTTGGTTTATGTTTTATTGAAAGGAAGTGTCTTAATGCTTTCCTAGTGTTCTCCTACTTGATTTCAGAGCTTAGATTTCATCAATTTGGTATCAGAGCTTAGGTTACATTAATTTGATATCAGAGCTTAGGTTGCATTACATATTAATAATTTAGGGGTAAAAATGTATGCATCAGTTTCTTTCTAGATATCCTACATAAGTTAGAGACTCGTGCAGTAGGTACACCCTAATCATGACATGGCAATGTATTTTTATTATACTAGCTATTTGAATGCTTTTGTTGCATTTTTTTACAGGTTGGAGAAGAAAAAATGGTGGTAGGAATTGGTAAGGCAGCTCTTGAACATTCTGATGTTAAGCCATATGTTCACGATGTGCTTCTCTCTATGGCACTAGCTGAAGTAAGATATGGCCGTGAAAGGAACTCTATTTTGTTTAAAAATATTTCTTTATGTCTACAACGTGTCAAAGCTAAACATGTAAGTTATACTTTCATTCTTTTAGTGTGCAATTGCAAAGGCTTCTTTTGAGAAAAGCAAAGTGTATGAAGGATTTGAAGCCCTTGCTCGTGCTCAGTACCTTTTAAAGAGCAAAGATTCTCTTGGGAGTATGCCACTGCTATCTCAGGCAAGTATGCTGTTGAAGTGTCTCTGTAAGCTTATTCCAACATATTCTTCGAAATAAGTTGTTTTATTAGGCATGATTCCAGATAGAGGAATCTTTGGAAGAGCTTGCTCCAGCCTGTACTTTGGAGCTGTTAAGCTTGCCTCACATCTCTGATAATGCTGAGCGTAGAAGAGGTGCGATTGCGGCCTTGCGTGAATTACTCAGACAAGGTCTTGATGTTGAAACTTCCTGTAGAGTTCAAGACTGGCATTGCTTCTTAAGCCAGGCGTTGAAGAAGATGATGGCCTCTGAAATAGTTGATCTACTTTCTTGGGAAAACTTGGCTTCTGCTCGGAAGAACAAGAAATTACTTGAATCTCAGAACCAGAAAGTTGTAATTGATTTTGATTGCTTTTATTTGGCGATGATTGCACATTTAGCTCTTGGTTTTTCAACAAGACAAATGGATTTGGTATATTCTCGTTGAACTGATATCCTATTTTAGCCTTCATTGCTAGGTGTGATTTTTTAACTCAGTTTAATTTTTCCCCTATATTGTAGATCGATAAAGCTAAAACCATTTGCGAGTGTTTGATTGCATCAGAGGGTGCAGACTTGAAGCTTGAGGAAGCACTTGTCTCATTTCTTTTGGGACAGGTACTTTGTCTCTATCTAGTATCTACCCCTTATAGCTCTCATTTTTTATATTTATAATGCTAATTCTAGGCTTTTAGATTGGTGAAGCAGCAGTGTTTGAGAAGCTTCAGCAGCTTGAAATCAATGGGAACTCAACCTTGCAAAGTTCTACTGCAGATATTCCTAAAACAGAAGTCAGGGACAAGCAGGCTATATATCAATCACTAGTATGTCATGTGCCACGCTTCATGAATCTCATGCATTTTTAATGTTTAAATAACTTACTTGTGTTAAAATCTGATGATATTCAAGTGCTAGCTGGTTTATTCAGGTAGCTAAACTCCATTCAGCTTATCCCTTTTTGCAAGACCTCAATTTAGGTTATTGATTATAGCTTAGTCGAAGCATATTTATTGTGTTTTCTTTCCTGGGAATATTCTCTGCAATCGAGTCTGAGCTGATTATTCATGGTGCTTATGTTGAATTTTGGAGGCCTTCAGGTTTATTTGTTGTCTTAATGATGAACAATAATATTCATTGTAATCAGGTATTGAGCTTGTTTAAAGGCAACCTAGCTTGTATAGGTGGATCTATATCGTTATATAGTATACAAAGCTGATTGATATATTGTGAATGGCATTGTTTGCAAACCATAGAAGAAGAAAATTACAATCAGCTAATGGAAAGTGAGAGGACAAAACCCTGATCTTCATTACCGTGTACAATATTACAATGAAATCTTTTATAGAGATGGCTACAGTAATGTTTATGTAATATTCAAGAATTTGAAAGGTTAAAAGTCAAAATTTAATCAGAATATTGTATCCCATTTTTTGCACCTCTCAAATTTGATAAGTAATATTGCTTGCACGATATATTGTTGAATGTTATTTCAGGTAAAGAAAGGGACAAAGTAGAACCTAAATGAGGATCATGTTATGATAGACTACTATGTTTTTGGTGTTACAATTTTGTTATAAGATAAAAGAATAATTAGGCATCTATGTGACTGAAAATTTTGAGGTGTATAAGGAGTACTAATGTGTATTAGAAACTCTGTAGTTAAACAAATTAAAAATATTAGAACTACTTATACTCAATTGATTTGTGTTAATTGTTAAATTCTTTTGGATTAAAAATTTGTGTATACAAAAAATTATTTTCACTTGTCCCATTATGCTTTGTGTTTGACTGAGAGTGGCCGTTGGGGGGTGTGATAGTTTAAGTAAATAGTAGAGGTATTTATAAATGGATAATTCAAACATATGGACAACCATGATGAAATTCAAAGATATAGTGGAGATGTGTTGTAGTATTGCCCCTCAAATTGATGAGTTTCTTAGAGTTGTCAATTTGTTGTGAAGTAATTGGAAGCACGTGTTGTTTAGGGACTCAGTGAAGATATCAGCTAGCTGCCTTTTAGTGGCAATGTGATGGGCAATAATGCTTTTGGATTTGATGCAATCACAAATAAAAATGATAGTTAATCACTATGTTTTGTTATGATATGAAACACAAATGGTTATTGGCCAGAGCGATTGCCAAAGCATTGTCATATGATAGGTGATTAGAATGCTAATCAATTAAAGTCAATGAATCTATATTATATGAGTAGCGATGGTTGCCAGTACTCTATATTTGGATTGCTTCTTCATGCCCCAAGAGATAGGCATAGAATCATGAAGCATGCGGTAACATGTAGGGACTTGTGGTTAGTGCAATCTCCTGCCCCAATTTGAATCAAAATATTCATGTAGTTGAAGGGGCCATGGTAAATGGGTATGCCATATGTTGGTGGCTTTTACGCATTGAAGCACCCTTTTGTGCTGTTGGAAATGTTGATCAAGTGGATGATTCGTGTGTTGACATAAATGGTTCATGACCAAGTCTTATTATAGTAAGATATTGGGGTGATTCTACCAAATGGCGATGGAGAGTAGGTTCAGAATAGCTAGTGTCATGGGTTTTTGGGGAGGATGCTTTGGAGGTGTTAGGATTTTGAATTGGCTTGCAAATGCTTGGCTGTTGAAGAATATTGAGCTGTTGAAGAATATTGATAAGGTATTTAAGTGAAGTTCATAAGTTATTTAATTTGATTGAATTAGGGGTGTCAAAAGAGACTGACAGGTTGAGTTTGGGTGTGACCCGACATTAACCCGACCCAAATCTAATAAACCCGAACCCGACCCATTTAATAAATTGTTCAGAAAGATCAACCCAATCCGCTAGCAACCCTAATGACCCGAGTCTGACTTGTTAACTCATTACTTATAACTTATTTTTTAACTCAAACTTGAATTGATCCGAACTTTTTAACACGAATTAGTTTATTTTTTACAACTTATTAATTATTAAGTTTAGGATATTTGATAAAAAATAAGAAGATTATACCTACAAGAAAAAAAAAGGGGGACATTATTAAACATGTCATTTTTAGGTAAAAATAGGTTTGTTGGTCAACATGAATCTAACCAGTTTAATAAATGAGTTAGAAAACTCAACCCAAACCCGTCTCGTTTATTAAATGGGTGAACCAGAGTTCCGATTTCTTAGGGCGGGTTCAGGTTGGATTGGTGGGTCGGGTCACTTATTGGTAGGCTTAGATTGAATGCCCAAAAAGCAGATAGATAGCCTAAATTGCACATATTGAAGTGTTGATTGAGGTTGCCCCGCTACTAAGAGATGACATTGTCATGATTGCTATTTGCTAGTTAGGAGAATTTCAATAACATAAAAAAGAAGATACATTATTGCGAAATTGTGTAGCACCAAAGAATTCACAATGTTGGGCTAGAATCAAAGCTATTGAATGTGTTATGAAAGAGTGGCAAACTACCAGCGAGGTGATTGTGGGAGGCCATACATGATTTTTTGTAAGAAGCATACTAGCTAAGGATGGTGTGGATCTATGAAACCTTAAGATTGATATAAATAGTTTTTTGAAGACATCCCTATAAGAAGGTGTTGAAGACATCCATTTGGTTGTGATGGACTACATCAATGATGAGAATTTAGATTGTTGGTATTTTCCCAAAGAGACTAAATGTTTCATTATAGTCAAAGCCTTGCACCTATTTATAGCCTTTCTGGTCTTCGAGAGAGACTTATGTATAGGGAGAATCACAACGGATTAAATTATACCATCCTGAGGGGCAGGAACGGTGGTGGGCCTTTATGCTCCAGCATGAAAATCAATGGAAGGAAAATTAGTCATACATGCATTTATTTTTTAATAACTCTGTAGAAAAGATATCGTATTATCTCAAAGGATAAAAGATGGGTCAGTCTATAGATTCGAAAGGCAAAAATATAACAAATTTTTCCTCTACTCAACACATATTATTGAATAGGGTTTATTTTATTATTAGTAATCCGATTTCCCATGGTGCAACCCCCATAGTTAATCACATCTTGAATAAAGAGTTCAAGAATACTCTTGATGAAGTGTGTGTTCATTTAATTTTTTCGGGGTTTGGTACATAAAATGTCTTCTAAGATTTTCTATTTCAATGGAAGAAAGGGGCTCAAAATGGTTAGTCATCATGCAAATGGTATACAAAAAGCATATAGAGGTCATCATAATGGAGGTGAAATCACACATGGGAAACATATCATGCATAATAATCGAGCATGTGAAACGACGTCATCCACTGACGTGGATATATGGGTTTTATAATCTCTCAAGAATGGTAACTTGCCCATTGATGAGAATTAAAATACTCAATAGACAATTTAAGTCTCAATCCTAAATTTAAGGGGGACTAAATTTAAGAATGAGATATGGCCCATTGTCTAATCTAATGCTGAAACTGCAATGAAACTTATAACTTGAAACCCCACCAGGTATTATGCTTGCTCATGACTTGGACTTACATAGGGGTGTAAACGAGTCGAGTATTTGTCTAATCGAGTTAAGCTTATTTAGTTTTTACTGAGCTCGAGCTCATTACTAAGCTTGAGCTCGTCTCATTAAAAAATTTGTAGGCTCGAGCCCAGCTTGATTGCTCAAGCTCAGTTGAAAAACTCGAGCTTGACTTGTTTATTGAGCTCGATTTCTTTGTTTTAAATTAAATTTTTTATTTTTTTTTATAATTTTGTTTTAACATATAATTAATTTAAAATATTAAATATATTATATAATGCTAATTTAAATTAAGTTTTAAATATATTTTAAGTTAGTCGAGCATCTCAACGAGCTTACGAGCCAAGCCTGACTGAGCTTTAGCTCGTTTAATATACAAGCTCGAACTCGTGGCTTGATAAGCCCGTTAACTAGTCGAGCTCAAGTCGGCTCGCGAGATGGCTCGGCTCACTTACACCCCTAGACCAACTTTTTTGCCTAGACCTGCCTAATTGCATAAAAATCATGATGTTCATTCTCTATACATGTGCAAGATAGGGTAGGTGTGATGTATGAGAAAAGTTCTTACAAACTGACCACATAATCAAAAGATAACCCGACTATGAATGAACATGATTTGCATATGAGAGTTTAATTTAGTTATCTAATTTTAAGTGAGTTGTAGAAAATAAATCCAACATATTGACTCATTGAGCTATGCATATGTGTGCATTAGTCTAAGGTTTTTATTAATTTTTTAAATCTTATTTTTAATGGACAGGGCGATCAACAAAATGTTGACTACACATCTGTAGTTCACCAAAGGGTTTGATATTTATTTTTTTAAAAGAGAATCTGTAAGAGAAGACATTCATCTATTTTTAAAGATTATTTTTTTTAATTTTTTATGATTATTTTTTAGTCATTTGGCTATTTAAGATAAAAAATTTAACATGCTAAAGTCTAATGATAACAAAAATCTAGATCGACTCCAAGCAAAATATATAAAGAAACATAGAAAAAAATGCAGTTCTAATGCACAATTAAAATAAACAATCAATCACAATCTTAAAGAATAGAGAAAAGCCCAAAGTACAGCTGGGTCTGTTATACATCTTAGGAAAAATGAAAAGAAAAATAGTTGAGCTCTATCATAATTACAACTCAGTTTAGAAACTATGCATAAAAGAAATTATATGTTGAGTCTTGAAGGTCTCCATCTACATCATCACTTGGTTACCTGCCTTTTGAAATACCTACATAGCTATCCTATGTTATAATATACATGAATAAAACGAAACAAAACAAAACAAAATCCCAACAAAATATATGTTAGCACAATAAAGCATTAATCATATGATTATATAAAGCTTGGCATATATTGGTGTTGACCTGTATTTTTAGCCCCTGTAGGCCATGCCTATTCAGGGCTTGAGCTTATTATGATAACACCTTCAAGTAAAACATGTATATTTATTAAATTTAACTGCTTTTGGGCATGACCACCTGCAAGGTAAAGCAATATATTTCTATCTAATCACTTAAGTGCAAATGCTCAAAATATCATATCACAAATCAACAAACAAACATGCATAATGTTATATAAGATCATCACATCACAATATGCATAAAAAGAAAAATTCTAACTGGACCTTTGCCCTAAGATGCCCAAGGGATGCGCTTATCACAGCGCCTAGTGTTTGCTAAGCTGGTAAGGGTGTTAATCTAGCCAAATATGTGGTGTTCAAATTGTAGGTCTGATTGAATAATGTTTAAATTTATTAACCATGGGTGATTTTAATTTAAATTATTAATGATATCTGCTCATTTATTATATATTTTTTAATTTAGGAGTTTTATCATTAAGGATTATAACGAGCCCAAATATGATGAACACAACCCACCCTGAAGTGGGACATGTCATCATAAGGGTCCTCAAATCTAACTGGACCTTTGCCCTAAGATGCCCAAGGGACTTTTTTAGGATCTATAGCATGTTATTCTACTTTTTACTCTTGTTGGTGAAAATTCAATGGCTTGCTCATCTTTTTTTTTGTTCTGTTTAGTGATGCCAAATGATAGAAAATAAAGCTGGGAATAAGCTATCAAGTATCATATTTGCTTTTGTTAAAAAAAAAATCTTAACTAAAATATTCTTACCCGTGAAAAAAACTTCTGAAAGTTGGCTAGGGATTGCATGGTCTGTGTGACATTCTGTCTAACCAGATTAGGCTATGAACAATCAAACCACGAAGAATAATTGTATCCATGATGAATTAGCTGGTTTAACAAGCTCTCTGTTTCTTTAGTTTTCTGATGAGTAAGGAGATTTCTCACGTAGAATCATCTTTTTTGAGGAAATTGGCATGTCTTACCCGATATATTTATTGAAATGATTGATTACTCTGTTTTGTAAATTTACTGCATTGAATAGTGCCTGTTGGAAAGATTTGAGTTATACCATTACTTCATACCATCTTTCATGGCAGGAAGTGTAGTTTAAACATGTGGTAACTAGATGGTTTTATCTGTTGCACGCCTTCTCGTTATCAGAGCTTGCATTTAGGTTGTAATTTGTCTTATGCCAGATGACCTACTGAAATTGACCAGGAAAAGTGGCTGAAGGATGCTGCTCTTTCTGTGTTTCCCGATACACGAGAATGCGCTTCCTCTTTGGTGAGTGTAAGAATTAATCAAAGGCTGAAGAAATCTATTTGCTTGTTGCATCCTTAATTATCTACTGTCATCTTGCAGGCAAACTTTTTTGGAGGGCCAAAAAGGATTCTCAATCTCAGTAATAAAAAAATAGGGACTTCTACTGCCTTTTATGCTAACAACAGATCACCTTCGTTTGGTCTTTCACGAGAAAATACCACTTTTGTTGAGCACTCTCCAATAAAGTTAGCAAGACATATGGGAGAGGCTGTAAAACAGCTCGCACCAGTGAGCTTGCAGACCCAATCAAGTCTGAAGAAGGCTAACAATATGACCAGCAATCCATCAAATTCTCCATTGAAGAGAAGCCTTAATCTTCAGAATTCAAAATTTTGGGAAAGCTGGAGCCTCACGGGTGATATTCTGGGAAGGATAGCATGCACCACCTTTGTTGGTTGTGTCATGCTTGGTGTATTAAAGATGCTTAGTACTGCTCAGCCCAGAATCTCACATATGTTGCAGCCTAGTCAATCAACGATGAACAACAATGCCAGCATATGGACATTTGACAATGCACCTGGTGTGAAAAGCTCTTCTTTCATTGATAAGAGTATTTTCTGTCAGCTTAAAAATCTGCTGGCACTTTTCAAACATTACTACAGACATCCAGCAGATAGAAGAAAAATAGAAAATCCTTTGTTTATTGATAATCTTTCATCTTTAACTATGGCATCAGCTGTTGCTGGTACTGCTGCACACAGAAGGAAAATGCCTTTGGAAGAAGCAGAAAGCCTGGTGAAGCAATGGCAAGATATCAAAGCCGAGGCATTGGGTCCTGATCATCAAATAGATACCCTGTCTGAGATTCTTTCTGAGTCAATGCTGTCAAAGGTCGGCATTCTGTATCTCTTTGTTTGTTTCTTTAAACTTCTCTGTAATTTTTCTTGACATCCTCAATTTGTTATGGGCAGTGGCAGGATTTAGCATCTTCAGCCAAAAAAGGAGCATGCTTTTGGAGGTTTGTTTTACTTAAATTATCTATTCTTAGGGCCGATATAGTACTAGATGAGCTTGGCGCTGAGGTTGCCGAAGTAGAAGCAGTGTTAGAAGAAGCTGCTGAGCTTGTAAAAGATTCTCAGCCCAGAAGACCTAGCTATTACAGGTACTTTCTACAGCCATCTAATCACACTTCTATCCTTTTCTGAAATGCCTGGTTATTTATTCTTCTTGAATACCTTACTGCAGTACATACAAAGTACAATATATGTTAAAAAAGCAGGACGATGGTTCATGGAGGTTCTGCAGCGGTGGAATCGAGAGCTCTACATGAACTTCCTATAATCATCGACTATTAAGAGCACATCATATGTTTCTCTACTTTTTATCATCTTACAGCTTTGTGCAGCATCTTGTTATATCCAGTGAGTTCTTTTAATTAGTTTTTCTTGCGTAATTCATATACAAGAGATCTTAGCAAATTAAGGTTTCGTTTGGGACGTCTTTCTCTCTACTTCTTAAAGCAGCTTTCTAGTAAAAAACATTAATTTTGATGCTAAAAAGCTGCTTTAAGAAGCAGTAAGAAAGCCGTCTCAAACGAAGCCAAAGATTGATAGGGTTCTATGCTTTTTTTCTTAATTTCTAGGTGATGATGGGTTCATTAAAATAATCAACCTGTCAATGGACAAGAAGTAGAAGCTGAGCTACATTATCAAATAAATTCCTGTTTCTTACACGGCTAACTCTGCAGTAAGCCCTTTCCTTTGGCCATTATTTTCTTCATATTCTAGACTAACCGGCATGTTGAATTTATAGCTTGGTCCAGTTTGGCACCAATGAACTATGCTGATTACTGTTAAGAATTTGAATTGTTTACTTTAAACTAACGATGATATTCTTTTCAATTTGGTCTTTGATTGTCCCACTTTCGGATTTGCTGTTAGCAGGATTGCAAATACCATTCTGATTTGCGTTTTTCTATGTATCTTTGTGTTTGGCAAGTCCCTTTTTAGGATAGAGTTGGTTTTCCTGATTGTCATTTGTTAAATATTTGCATTTTATGGTTCTTTTTCTTGATAAAAGACAAGGGCAGCTTTCATATCTTTTACTGCTTCTAATGAATGGTTAATTCTGCTGCTTTGAACGCTTTGGTCTTGGTGGACTAACGATTAAATAGTGGCTTTTTTATGTGTAGCTGTACAGTTGGTACTAATTTAAATTGAATCGAATGCATTTGAACAGACTTCGTAAATCAGCTTTTTAGTATATAAATTAAAAATTTTGTACGTAAATAGCTTCTTGAAGCAGTAAGAAAATTGCCCCAAACTGAGAAGATGAGTTTTCTTAGAGTATGTTTTTTTTATTTGTTTATAAAAGGGTGTTAAATGCAAGTATGCAACAATACTGGTGAGTCTTAGGTTTTGTTTGAGATAGTTTTTGGTCACTATTTTTTGTTGCTTTTAAAAAACTGCATTAAAAAGTTGTTTTAAAAAGCAGTAAGAAAATTATCCTGAACAAAGCCTAAAGCTTTGTTTGGGTTGGCTTTCTTATTGTTTCTTAAAGCAGCTTTCAAGTACAAAAATTTTAATTTTTGTACAAATTAGAAAGCTGCTTTAAGAAGAATTAAGAAAGACATCCTAAAGACCTAAGCGAACTTTAAGGTTTTATTTGAGATAACTTTTGGTTATTATTTTTTTAACTATTTTAAAAAATTTTTGTACTTAAAAATTTGTATTAGAAGAAAAAAAAAATTATCCCGAACAAAATCTTAAACTCAAGTCAGCAGATTCATTCATCCTTTGATTCCAAATTGGGTGAGGCAGCTGCTCTATATTATCTATTTCAATTAATTTATCTTTTTTTTTAATGTTGTACGATGGCCATTTGCTAGTTCAACCTGGTTGCCATTTCCTCAAAATGAAGATCACATTGTAAATTACTTCTGCTAATTTGAAATTTTATTATATGAGTTGATCACTTTTAATGCGTTAAATCACTTTTTTAAATTGATATTGGTCTTTATTATTATACACTTCTTTTTAATTAATCGTAATATAGGAAAAAATCATTGAGAATAAAAACAAAATTTATAAAATGTATATAATTTTAATTATTTCTCCTCCCGAGTTCAAATATAGGTTCAATTGAAAAAGATATTTCAAATTTAGTTCAATTAAAAAATACTTAAGTAAAAAATATAGTGTGATTGAAAGTAGGAATTATTGGAGTTAATGGCGGATAAATATATTGTAATGGTTATAATTCTTTTACCAATATATAATTATTGTAATTGGCTAATTAATTAAGTTGATTAATAATTAGTTAGAATGTTAGGATTTTAATTAGGATAATTAATTTTTATTACTGTTTAATTCAAAATTCTATGCAAATTAATTAAGAAGTTTATATTTGGTAATTGAATATAGTCTTAATCATTGGTGTTACAAACTTTGGATTTAATGTCTCTTTCCTATTGTTAATCTAATGCGAATGATAAAATCTCTTGATGGAGGGTACATAAATAAATGCCTCTCCAGAGGAGAGAATATATTTATCAAGCATAGTTGTTTCCTATAGAAGGAGTAAGAATGAGAGAGGAGGACAAGAAAAATGAAGAGAAAAGAAACAAGAACATCCAAATAAGATATATTTAAGTGGTTAAGAGTTGTAGCTTTTGTCCATTATATAAATGGAGGATGATTCCATATGAAGAGAATAAAATAACTACATGATGCTAGCCTTATATCTTTCATAGTGGAGAGAGAGAGAGATAGAGAGAGAGAGACTAATTTTGGTCAATATGGACCCATAAGTTATCTAAAGTTGAGATTTTGTTGCATTAGCAATCAATCAATATAAAGTGTCATTGAGGAGATTCAAAATCATATTGTGGAGGTTAGACTCTACCTCTTGGTACCATATGTCAAGCCCACAATGGCAAGTATAAGTGGTGATGATTACTAAGTTAGGATGTGGATGTGGATGTCCGAGGTTAATAGACTAATTTCTATCAATAGATACATGTTGGTTTCCTAGACATAGCTAATGGGTTAACCTTTGGGCATCAATGTGGTGGTGTTATCATATTGTTGGTGAGTTGTGGAGATGTCTCACTTGATCGACAATGAGAACCAATGCAAGGGTGTTGAATGTAAACCATTAACTCGGAGGAATTAAGCATCAAGAGACCTTAATGAATGGGTAGAAGGACATTTGTCATTAAGAAGGGTTTATCGTTACAAGGCACTAATTAAGGTTTTGTTTGGGATGACATTTTTATAGCTTCTTAAGGTAGCTTTTTAGTATAAAAATTAAAATGTTTATATTAGAAAGCTGCTTTAAGAAGCAGTAAGAAAGCCTTCTCAAACTAAATCATCAAGCTCAGATGGTCCTTGGGAAGGCCAAACAAAAAAATGGGCCTTCTATGATTTATGTGGGTTGATTATATTAGTGCTATCAAAATCATCTTAATATATTTTTCCTGAAAAATTATGTGTTAGAAGGTGGGTCGTTTATGATTTATGTTAGTTGATTATATTAATGCTATCAAATCATCTTAACATATATTTAAATGACCAGAATTGAGTGGATAAATTACGTGTTCTACGGATTCTAGCCCCTTATGCCTCCCCTCCCTAACACTGATAGAATCTTAACGGATTCTGGCCCCTTATGTCTCCCTTTGTGCTTAAAGCACCAGAACAGAACAGATATACATAATTTTCAGAGCAGACCTTATTTTCAGATTTCCCGGACCCAAACAACGAAATCACAAAGGATTTTGGCCCCTTATATCTCCCTTTGTGCTTAAAGCACCAAAACAGAATAGATATACAGAATTTTCAGAACAAAACTTATTTTCACATTACAGATATCAGATTCCCGGACCCTGACAGAATCTCAACGGATTCTGGCCCCTTATATCTCCCTTTGTGCTTAAAATACCAGAACAGAACAGATATACAAATTTTTCAGAACAGAACTTGCTTTCAGATAATTTTCAGAACAGAACTTGCTTTCAGGTTTCCCAGACCCAGACAACGGAATCACAAAGGATTTCGGCCCCTTATAACTCCCTTTTGATATCACAGCACATCAAAACATTCAAATCATAAAAATCGAATACTTCAGAAAATTCGTTAGCGGCAAAACGACAGTATACGAAATTTTCACAAAATTCACAAATTCAGAAAATCACCAAATTACCAGTAATCGTGTAAAACAACGTTACAAAGATTTACTCGTACTGAAGCAATATTTTTCAACAGCCAGATAATTTTATATTCGATAAAAAGCGCAAAGAACTCAAAATATCTGGTAAAAACTTTTCAGAAAATACTCAAATTGTACAAAAAACATCAGTTCAATAACATACCAAAAGTTACGCGGTAAAAGTTTCGTCAATACAAAGATATGCACGTTTTTCGGTAACGGAAACACAAAACTGAGCAGAAAAATACCAAAACTCGAAATCTTTGAAATCAGAAATAGGATTCGGATTCCTTACTGCGAAACGAACAATTCTTTCAACAGTGGCGTCGGACGAAAAGCGCACCGCGAGCTCCAAAACCCAGCTTCTTCTTTCTCTTTCCTTCTCTTTCTCTCTCATGCCTTTTTCTCTCTCTTCAAAAAATATCTCAAAATATCTCAAATCGGATATTTATCAAACAGGATCGTCCCGGACGATTCCCACTCGCCTCGGGACGAACTCCTCTGGACTCAAAACGTCCAGATGAAATTAATTCCAATTTATTTCGTCCCTGGACGAAACTCTCGGGTTCAGTTCGTCCCGACCCTTACAGGTTCATCCAGACGAACCAGGCAGATTTCTTCACAATTTTCTTCAGTTCGTCCCGTACTAAGGCCAGTTCGTCCGAACTAACAACACTCAAAAAATCAACTTCGGAGGGGTTTTACAATATATATATATATATAAAGCTCTAATTATTATTAATATGATTGTATATTATAGTATATAACTATTGGTCGTACTAAAATGGAAAGGAAAATGATTATTAAGTTTGGTCGTTCGTCTTATCATGAAAGAAGAAGAATGATAACACGAAGAAATTTTAAAGTGATAGCTCATCTGAAGATGATCCCTAAAATAGTGAAAGAAAGTTCTCTATCACTGGTTGTATGTCTAAGAAGAGTGGTGATTTCGGTGTTAACATTAAAGATGAATAGATGATAATGAATTGTATATATTAGTTCATGGATCCCATGCAAAGTGACCTTTTTTTATGAGATTCACCAGTCTTTAATAATACCAATGGGTGCTTATGAGTAATGAGAATTAATAGTGATTGGGATTCAAGAACAACTTTAAGTAAGAGTTCTACTGCTACAAATGATGAGGGTGTCTTAAAGGGTCTCAATAACACTTTCTCCTATAGTTGATTTGACATCGTCATTACTTATAAGGAAATTGTTTGGAGTGAATAAGCAATGAATTCCTTCTCATGGGGGTGCTGATTGTAAGGAACACAGGTAATATAAGGGTGGAGAATGAGAAGATGCTTGAGAGATGAGTGCTTATTAATGTAATGCCAACAAAGGAGTTAATGATTTTGCTAGCCATAGGGCATATTTTGTTCCCAAGATTAATAGTGAAGAAATTGGTTCAACAAGTAATGTGAATATATTATATGAGCATAAGAGAGATTGGGAGGAGATGAACATAGATGGTATCTTTGTTATATTATAGACGATGAAGAATTTGAGACTGACATACTTACAATAAGAAATGCAATAGTAAAAAAAAAGGGTATAAAAACATCTATTTAGGAGCTTCTTTATTTTTTACCATAAGATAAATGGTTTGAATTGTCTAGTGTACAGATTTTCACGAAGTGCATCTAGAATGTAATGTAATAATGCAATCTTGAGTAACCAAATATGAGGAAGATAAGGATTCAGAGCATCGAGTTGGTTCTTATAGTTTCTTATCACCTCGATTTAATGCATGAAATTATGTAAGTAAATTGTCTTTGTTTATATGCTCACACTTGCCTTTAGGCCATTTAGTATCTAGTAACTCGCCATATTGTCATCATGATAACTTGTCAAGTTTAGGTTGACATGATAGATGATTGCTAAGCTTCTTAAGGATATGATCAATTTTTATTTTTCATAAAATAGAGGAAATTTTTAATTTAATATTTTCTCATTTTAACTTATTTATCTTCTTATACGCAAAAATATATACATAAAATTTTATATTTAATTTTAAATAAATTACTATTAATGATTTTTATTTTTTTATGATATGATTTAAATTTCAAGTATTATATAATAAAATATAAAAAATTTATTTCTATATATATAGAAAGCCTTTCACGCCTAGCCGTCATCGGATCCTTCCAAGTTCTGCAGGAGATCGACGATAGTCACGCTACTGTTCCTTATTGTGCTCATCCGTCCAAGATTTTAGTCCACTCTCTGTAAAGCCCTTGCCGATCACAGTCCTAGGGTTTCCATTTCTTCTGCAATCAAATGTATCCCTAATTTCCACCCTCATCCTATCAAGATCCCCTGTTTTTCTCTACCCCGCCCCAACATCTGGCCTCCCTGACATGGGAGCCAAGGCCGGATCCTCCCCGCCGGTGGTGCCGCCGCCCGCCTCGTCCGCCACTTCTTTTTTTCCATCCATCAACGGCCTAAAACTAAAAACCAAGCAGCAGGAGCTCTTGATCCGCGTCTCCATCCTCGCTCTCGTATATGTCCTCGCCTTCGCTATCCGCCTCTTCAGCGTCCTCCGCTATGAAAGCATGATCCATGAGTTCGATCCGTATTTTAACTACCGTACCACTCTTTTCCTCACTGAAAAAGGCTTCTACGAGTTCTGGAACTGGTTTGATTTCGAGAGCTGGTACCCTCTCGGTCGCATTATTGGAGGTACCCTCTACCCAGGTCTCATGGTTACTGCTGCCCTCATCTACTGGACCCTTCGCTTTCTGCGCTTCGCCGTCCACATCCGCGAGGTCTGCGTTCTTACCGCTCCCTTTTTTGCATCCAATACCACAATCGTTGCATACTTCTTTGGGAAGGAGATCTGGGATTCTGGTGCTGGTTTGGTAGCGGCTGCGCTTATTGCTATTTGTCCTGGTTATATCTCGAGATCCGTAGCCGGTTCTTATGATAACGAGGGAGTTGCCATATTTGCGCTTCTCCTAACATTTTACCTGTTCGTCAAGGCAGTCAACACTGGATCGCTTGCTTGGGCTCTTGCTTCTGCGTTTGGATATTTCTATATGGTATCGGCGTGGGGTGGATATGTGTTTATAATCAATTTGGTTCCACTCTATGTGCTGGTTCTTCTGGTGACTGGGAGGTATTCGATGAGGTTATATATTGCTTACAATTGCATGTATGTGTTAGGGATGCTGCTCGCCATGCAGATTAGGTTTGTAGGTTTCCAGCATGTGCAGTCTGGGGAGCATATGGCTGCCATGGGAGTGTTTTTCTTGCTTCAGGTTTGTTTATTTTCTTTTCTAGCTTTGCAATGGATTAAATAATGCACAAGAACTACTATTAAGATCATTCAAATTATTATAAAAAAGCTTAGAACTTTTATCTTGTTTTGCTGTACTGATTTCCTAGTACATTTTGTAGATAAATGCGCTTAAAAAATGCTGCCTTATTAGTTATCGGGCTTATATTTGTCTAATTGCTCAGTTTTGCTTCAGAAACTATTTTGTGGGGTGAGGTGAGCACCAAAGTACAATTAATTAGATATAAGTAGGTTAATGAGTTCCGGTTCAAATGAAAACGACGAGCGAAAGTTCTCCGACCAATCAACCTTTATTTGCTTTGGCCTACGAAACATGCTGACTTGTTGGTTGTTAGCTATTGTGAATTACCTGAGTGGAATTTTGTTAGAGCTTTAAAGATTTTACATTGGGATATCAGCTTATATATTTCAGGTAGGCTGTTGAGGATTTTTTATTTTAATGAATGTTCGGTACCTCAATTACGTTCTAGTTTGTTGTTTGTGTTGTTCTCTATGTTTTTTTGTTTATCAAATTTTATTGTTCCATCACAACTTGTCTCCTACCTCTCTCTTTCTGGCCTTTGTGATGGAGGTCACCATGATGACTTAGTTTATTCCTCCACTTGCCTGACCCAAAGGATTTTAAATTGCATGAGTAATCGTTTTTAGATGAATATATCGTTTTTTTATTATGTAGGACCTTATCACAAAAATAACTTCTGCTATCAAACCTCAGTTGTTTCTGTATGCTATCCATTGCTTCAACAAATTTATTGGCAATATTAAGTTATCATTGTCATTATGCCATCATAATATATTCTATGGATGCCAATACTATTCTACTTATATTTTTCTTATGAAGATGCACCTTAGCTAGCTTTTATTGATGTGGAAGAGTTAATCTTTTAAAGAATAAAGCTTAAGATCGGCTTAATTGTGAAGACAAACCTCCTTGCTGCCCTATCAACTACATGATAGCATTTTGATTTTTTTTTAATTCCCATAAGTGAGATTTAATGAGTAGCGCTGATGCCTATGGTGGGCTAGTAACAGGGGCATTTTTCTGTGGTTACCCCATAAGTTTTTTGTACAGGATTAACTAACTCGTTTATGGTTACACTAGTAATGAGAATTGAATGATTGACATTTAAGACAGTTATTTTAGAGTGGAACACCATTCATTAACGAATAAGAGCTCTTGCATGGGTGACTTCTAATGTTACTTGTTAAATAGACAACTCCCAGTGTCCACAAGCAGTTTTTTTTTTTAATCAATTTTCTCATGTCAAGGGTGATTTTTGAGAGGATAAACATGGCCTTGTTTATAACTTGTATGAAGAGAAACAATGTTCGGGCTCCATTGAAATGTGTGGTGCATTCCTTGTAGTTTTTATGTGATCGTTCTCCTATATAATCTGAAAAGGTGCTCCTTTCTAAAATTTCTCTTATTCAAAAACTCATATATTTTGGATTATTAATATGAATCCCTTAATTATAATGATCATGACAATTTTGACTAATTTCATTCCAAAATAAAACTCCATGTTCTTTTTATGAAAATGATGAAGATATTAATCCTTCAAATTTTGGTTTTTTCTATTTTAAATTTGATGAATATGGACATTTTGATGTTGAATTTTAGCAACTCATATATATCTTTTGTGTCGTTGATGATTTCTTCGTTCAAATGAGATTTATACATTGTTGTTTTTTTATACTTTTTATGATATGTACATTTGTAGGATGTCAGCATTTGAAAAAAAAAATCTAAGTATTTAGGCTAATAAGTTCAAATTTTTAGAAGAAAGTAGCTTTAAATAAAACTTTACTATTCCTTTTTCAAATCATGGTCCAGATCACTCTGACGTCTAAAATAAGGCTTGTTGTAATAAAATGTTTGTTTATCTTTTAATTTTCTCGGATTAATATATGTGATTTTTGTAAAATTTGTCATAGCTTTTGCATATTTTGCATGCCATTGAAATTGTTAATGGTAATTCCTAAAATGCTTTGTGTTTAAGAGGTCTTCTATTAACCTATTTAGGCCATATAAAAAATTAATAGCATGATTACACAGTTTTTTGACTATACTTAATAAGAATTGTGGTTGCCATCCTAATGAAACTATGTAGACAATTCGACATTAGTAGCTTGATAAACTAAGATGTAAATTGAGGAGGTGATCTGTTGCCAACCTTTCAATGTGTGGCCTAAGTTGGCCATTAAGAGGTTAGGATAGGAAAGGAGCTTTGTATTTTTGTTTGGACTTCCTAATAACTTAGGGATTGAGTTAAATATATTTCATTATTGCCTACTTGTTGTAGTAGATGTTTTCTTCTTCTTCTTCTTCTTCTTCTTCTTCTCTCTATGTTGTTATGGAAAGCAAGTTCTCTCTCTCTCTCTCTCTCTAAATTTTTGCTCATGTTTTTCCTAAACAATAGATTCTACAATTAGCAATCAGAAACTTCTTCTATACTAGAAAACACTCAATCTTCAACTTTCTTATGGTTTATCTGAAATTCCAGCACCTGGTGACTATTTTTGGCAGGTATTTGTAGGGTTCAACGCTACAACAACAACATCAAACCTTTACCCCACTACATGGGGTCGGTTACATGAATCATTTTTCTTCATTGTGTCCTGTTAAGAGTCAAATTCTCATTTAAATCTAATAAAAAAGAGGTCATTTCTAATATTTTTAACCAAGTTTTTTTAGGTCTACCTCTACCTTTCTCTATATAGGTTAAATCTAATACATCTACTCTCTTAATCGGGTTATCAGAAGGTCGATGTTTTATGTGACCATATCATCTTAGGCGACTCTCTGTAATCTTATCTGTCGTTTGAGCTACTCCAACTTTTTCATGCAAATAATTGTTTGATATTTTGTCTCTAAGAGTGAAACCACTCATCCACCTGAGCATCCTCATCTCTGCAATACTTAATTGTAGGGTTCAACATTGCAACTACAATATCACTGCACTGCCAAGCACGCTACAGTAACTCAGGATACTTTGGTTGTGGGTATTGTCGCTATATGGAAGACAACTAATGGAGGAAATAAAGAGACATATAGGAAAGGTTTTTGGGGAAAAATTCTTATTTTTTATTGATTTTATTGCAAAAAATAAACATAATTGGGATCAATCTAAAATAGGGTACCCAATATTTAATAAAAAACTTAATAAATTTAAATACAAGATAATTCCTACATGAATTAACTTATTATGAGTTTAAAATAGTGCCCAACTATTGATTAATGTTCAATTTGGCCCCAAACTTTTGCATTGTTCTAATTTAGTCCCTTAACTATTAAAAATTGAGTCAATTTAGTCCCAAAGCTTAAAATAAGAGTTAAAGTTAACAACAAGATTAAACAACAACAACAACAACAACATCAAGCATTTATCCCACTACGTGGGATCGGCTACATGAATCCTTTTTCTCCATTGTGTCCTATAATTATTAATTTTTAGTTTTAATTATCATTATTAACTAACCATCATAAATAATATAATTAAAATCTAAGTTAAACATCAATTAATCCAAGTAATTAATTAATTACATCATATTCTTAATTAATTTTAATTAAAATAGTTAAACTAAATTAATTTTTTCCGATGTTATATTTCTCTAGCAATGCATGTTTTACCGTCTTGCTATAGCCGCAGGTTTTCTTTTCCTCTTCTCCACGCCTGCTTCGCGTGAGAGGTTGAGTTTTGAACGAATCACTAAAATAACTTCTTCGCCTCCTTCGATGACGTTTCTTCATGTTGGATCCAAAATCACACCTCGTCGTTCTACTGTAGGATCGGAAGTAACAACGATAGATTGTTTATTTTGGTGGTAGCCATCTTTCTTCGTGCATCCAAACAACCCCGCAGGGTGTCTTGCTTACGGTGTGTCGTTTGTCTAAGAGCCGCACATGAATCTAGCACGTCACAGTATGTCTCGCTCGCAGCCTGCTTGCTTGCTCACGTTACTCTTGCTCGCTCGTGTTGTTTGCAGCTTCTACCTCGCACAATTTGGTCTTCAAGGCATACAATGGTAAGGCGAGTGAGCATGTAACAAATAATTTTACCTAATTGCCCAGAAAGAAGTGAAGCTCTCCAACTTTTTCCATTAATTTAAATGGAAAATTTAACCCAGGGACCAAATTGGATAAGTTTTAATAGTTGAAGGATTAAATGGGGGCAATACGAAACTCTTAGACTAATTTGAGCATTTATCAATAGTCGGGGTACTATTTCAAGCTTTTACTGACTATCTGATTTTTTATGTGATATTGTGATCATAGGTTCCCCTCTTAGGAAGATTTCTTTTTTTATGAAATCATAACTTTTGGTGGGGGGACGTTGACTTTTCAACCTTAAGTTATGTCATTGCTGTGTTTGTCAACTAATATTTTAGGAAGTTTCTAGGAGATCTTAGAAACTTGTCTTGAGAACTTCTTGGCTCATGGAGCTTGAGTAGAATTTAATCTTTTGGAGCCTTTTGTAAATTTCCAATAGTCATATTTTGGGTTTACTTTTTTGTTTGACTTGTTTCTATGATAAAGTCTCTTCTTTAGAGGATGCCAAAATATATGAGACATTGATTTTGTCTTATTCTTTCCTTGATTGAATTTGGTAAGAGGGTTACTTTTTAGTCTCCTTTAACAATTGAGGCTTCTCTACTTGTTTATGACTTACTCCACTGTTTTTTGGAATACATGTTTTTTTTTTTTTCTTTTGGATGTCTTTGAATAACTAAAGATAAACAATTTTAACTGTACATGGTTTTTACTACACCTTTATCACTTTCACTTGGAGTTAATTTTGATGATCGGTTTTCATTAAATTGATAAATATGGCAGCAATGTGTTAGAGAAGAGCCGTATGTCTTGCTTCCCAGTCAACTTTTGTATCAACAAGTTGCTTTTTTTTCTCAAGTTAGAGAGTAATACTAGTTTTTTTCTCTGTAGGGCAGTCTAGAATCAATAGT